ACACACACACACAGATATACACGTAGGCTACACAATACACACGCGCTCGCACATTATACACAGAAATGCACACATCAATCATTTTTTCCCCCCCATACTGTCACGCTCTCCTCGCCTCCTCACTCCCGCACATACACACACACAAGATCAAGATTTCAAGTTAATCACCTTTACTACAAGGTAAATTTATATTCAATTTTAATTTCAAATGGCACTATGTCAAAAGCATGGCACGATGCTTTGGTACTAACTTACTTTTGTTTCGCAAAAAAGCGTGATTGATCCATATTTTACCGTGAACATCAACCGATTCAAAATTGAACACGGAAATAAAAATTCGACAACACCACAGCTCAACAGCACGGCGAACGTGCTTTCTCACACATTGTAGCTGATAGGCTAGCTGACGAAAAGCGTGGAGGTCTCGGTATGTTTACCAAAATTTATGCTGAAGTTGGCCAATGTTTCCCTAGCCGTAAATTTTTACTTTCACTCCTGCACACAAATGCATTGCTTCGGGGGTCAAACCGCAAGTATTGTTTGCTGCAGATGGGAGGAATACCTACGTCGTAGACTACGAGTACGACCGGTACGACTACGAGGCAAGGGTAGAACAGAGTTGTAGGCCGAAGGGGTAGGGTTTGGGGGGTGGGGGGTAGGGTAGAGGGTTATGTTTGGGGTAGGGTTAGGTCTCTTCTTTATTTTATGGGAGTGTATACAGACCCGGTAACCGGGAACAAAGTCACAAAGTATACAGACCCGGTAGGGGAACTCTTTTGTGATTTCGGAAAGTTTCAGCGCCCTCTTGACTCAGTCAGGGTAGACCTAGATCTAGGTTCTTCTATATCTATGGCCTAGACTAGATCTAGATCTAGAAAGACAGACATAAATCATTGATCTAGTTTCGAGGCTAGCCTAGATCTAGAATCTAGATTAGATCTAGATATCTAGATCTAAATGAAGATTGCGGATGTCTTTTCGATGAACGATCGTTTTTCCTCCGTTTTGGAGTTGGAGGAATCACAATTTGAAGAAAAGAACAATGTCATAATTTCTCTGGAGCAGTCACCCTCTCTATTTCTCTCTCTCTCTCTCTCTCTCTCTCTCTCTCTCTCTCTCTCTCTTTCTCTCTGTCTCTCTCTCTGTCGCTCTCTCTCTGTCTCTCTGTCTCTCTCTCTCTCTCTCTCTCTCTCTCTCTCTCTGTCGCTCGCATTCTCTTTTTCTTTGTTTGTCTCTGTCTGTCTTCTCCCCACCTATTTCCCACTATATCTTTCACTCGTTCCCTCCTGCCAACTGGGGCATGTCATACATTTTGCTAGCACTTCCCCCTTCTCTCTCTCTCTCTCTCTCTCTCTCTCTCTCTCTCTCTCTCCCTCCCTCTCTCTCTCTCTCTCTCTCTCTCTCTCTCTCTCTCTCTCTCTCTCTCTCACACACACACACACACATGCACTCTACCGGGTCTAGGCGCTGAAACTTTCCAAAATCACAAAAGAGTTCCCTCACCGGGTCTGTATACTTCGTGACTTTGTTCTCGGTTACCGGGTCTGTATACACTTCGTTATTTTATTTGTTGGGGTGGTCGCTCGTTACGGAAGTCCTTCCCTGCAGATCACACAAATCATCGAATTGTATACAGACCACATGCCGTTAAACATAAAAAAGACACATCTTTTTGATTGGCTGCTAATTTTAGTACTGTGATGTCATCACTTCGTGGGATACCCACATGGAACGACGTGTTTTCGCTAACATTTCGGCTAGATCTAGATTCTAGATCTAGATTCTAGATCTAGAATCTAGATTAGATCTAGAATCTAGATTCTAGATTCTAGATCGTTGATGCTCAGAACAGTAAGATTAAGAATGCTAATTGCTTGAAATTGAAACACGGTAAACACAAAGACAATAAAGCGCACGAAAATTGCCGTAAAGACGCTGGAGGATTAGATCTAAATCTAGATCTAGATCTAGCCCCCCCCCCCCCCCCCCCCCGCCCCTCCTGCATTTTTAATCACTCATAGAACTATATTAAAAAAAACAAAAAAATCCTTCAAAGTAATCAAAGCTGCTCTACAAATTATAATTTATGAGACTGTTGGTCAGTCGGGAGGAGGAGAAGAGAAAAAAAGAACTGTCCGGGACCGGGATCGAACCGCTCCAAAAATCATTGCACGATTTCCAACACAGACGCGCTGTCTATTCTGCCATCAGAACTTCCGAGAGAGAGGTGTACATTAAGCATCATATACATAGATACTTCCATCTTTGGTGCCATGCGGTTGGCTATACTTATTAGATGTAGTCACGTGATCGGAGGGGTATCTGATGTCAAACAAGATGGGCACCTTACCTTAAAATAGTTTGCGTCTTTCTTCGACACGTTTAATGGCATGTATACAGACATGCCCCCGGCAACTGATCATTATTACAATAATAAGCTAGTCTTGACGTAAATCTACGTAATGAATTGTGCGCTGGTCTATGGAATCAAAAGTTGCCGTATGCTCGGCTTTATACAGCAACACAACTTTTTTTGGATAAACTATCGAGATGAAACACTGAGGCTTGTGTCCATTTGAACGAATCGGTCTTATTTTTACACAGCTCATAATATGCAGGTGCCAGGTGGTCTGCTAATCTTCAATTTTACCTTTTTCTACAACAAAGATGCGGGGGAACTAGGAGGGGGGGGGGGGCTATCAATGAGGCGGCGGGCATCTGATCAGCAGATGTGTGGGGGAAACTAAAAAATGGCGGAAAATTGGAAGCACTGAACGTTAGAGAATGAAGACACTTCCTTTTTTCCGGACCCGAGTCCGAATAAAAAAATTTCATATTCGGTCTCGAGTCCGAATATGAAATTTTTTTATTTGGACTTGAGTCCGAATATGAAAAAATGTATTCGGACTCGAGTCCGAATAAAAATTTAGCATAACATGCCCTATGACCAGTTTGCGTTTAAAAATAGCTGTTAAATGGTCTTTCATTTATCACTTGACTATAATTAGACCAG